ACGAGACATCAAAACAAAAAAACAAAAGGCCCTAGGAAGACATCAAAACAAAATTTAACAGGAACTGAGGAGACATCAATACAAAAATCTGCAGGAACTCCGGAGACATCAACACAAAATACAACTGGAACTGAGGAGACATCAAAACAAAAAACAACAGGACCTAGGGAGACATCAAAACAAAAATCTGCAGGAACTCCGGAGACATCAAAACAAAATACAACTGTCAAAACAAAAATCTGCAGGAACTCTGGAGACATCAGAACAAAATACAACTGGAACTGAGGAGACATCAAAACCAAAAACCACAGGACCTAGGGAGACATCAAAATAAAATTCAATAGGAATTGAGGAGACATCAAAACCAAAAACCAACAGGAACTGATGAGACATCAAAACAAAAATCTGCAGGAACTGAGGAGACATCAAAACAAAAAACAACTGGAACTGAGGAGACATCAAAACACAAAACAACAGAAACTGAGGAGACATAAAAAAGACAACAGAAACTGAGGAGATACCAAAATTAATGGAACGACAAGATTAATGGAAAAACAACAGGAACTGATGGAAAGCTAAACAAACTCAGATAAAAAGTCCAATAAAATGTTAGGACTAAAAAAAGTAATCCATTTGGATATATTTCTAAAAATTCGAAATAAACACGAAAAAACAGATTACTTTACCAACTAAATAACCATGCTAAATCAATTAAAAATCGTCAAGATATAAATGATATCAAAACACACAATAGCAAAGGAATAGAAAATGTCAAGTTTGACTATAAGAATACGGACACGCATCCTCGATGTTCTAGGGGTTACGAGCGTATCCACTTGAGTATCGAGGATGACGGACAATAAGAATATTGAAATGTTTAGATACACAATAATAGCATGTATACAATATAAATGGCAAAATATCAAAACATTCAATAAGAATTCCGATTTTCCAGCAGCCATAAGTTCCAGAGACATACACGTCTCTGGTATAGCGATAGTGATATCGACGATAGTATGAGTGACAAGTTTTACACACACAAAAACGATATTAAGTAACAAATATACATTATAGAAACAACATGATCTGAACTACGTTTGAAAAGTCAAAATCAAAAGAATATAACAGAACTGTTAGTTTATAAAAAGGTTCAACCTTACAACAGTCGAGTTCTGCTGTCTTGAATTAAACATGCAGTAGATCTATACGATGTTATGTGGCATCCATCGTTACAGTCATCAGAAAGGCAGATTTTCACCCCAGATTTACCATTATGAAGCGTGAAATATATTTAACACGCCCACAAACATAGCAAACCTGGGGGGACGTCCTGGGGGTGGTTTTCCGGGAACTAGCACATGTTTCCATGTGACTGCGCCGCCGCTAACGGGACAACCACACCCCATTTCGACCCAGTTGTTCAGCCTTCTCTTCCTGTCGTGTTGTGTGCGTGTGCCGTACGCTCAAGTTAGAGCGCGCGGTGAGTGTGGTCTTCCCGGGCCCGCGGCCGTGTAGAAACACGAGGCGGACCCGTACACGACATGCCATTAATAATGCACAGTTTGGTTAGGAAGTAAGCGGCTGAGGACACCCTCCAGTAGCCTTCTGCCCTCTCCATGAGTGCGTCGAGACCGGCGGAGTTTGGAATAGTGTTCTGGGGACACATACCCACCAAGTCTGTTTATATACACACCGTGACGTCACAGTATTGCTAAGGTGTTGTGAAATAGGTATACAAATGCAAAGTGCTGACACACTGAGCTTTACCGTGACGGCAGCGACTAAAATAGTTTAAATAGTGCTTAGTTATCATTTAAGAGAAATCGATCGCCCTTACCAAGGAATTCGATTATATCTAAGTCCGTGCTCTTACATATCAATCTATTACAGCCAGTGTCCATGTGCATACCAATACGAAACTTATGTCAGACTTTGAGCGATTATGTATATTCAAAAATTTCAATATTTATGTCAATATTATATGTTATCGAAAAACATGCATATAGCGCAGAGACTCAGAGAAAACAAAACAGAACAATGCAATATTTTGAAAATAATGTGTCAAACTATTCACGTATTTGTGAACGATATCGAACCAGTTTTTTTATAATTAATGGTATGGTACTATTCATACGGTCGGTAGACCGAATATGTATATACATGTAATATCTACGTGTGTGTGTAGTGCCAGCATGTTTCTATTTTAAATTTACTCTGTATACGTCAGCAATTTACTGACGTATTTATTTTACATGTTCAGAAACATTTGGTTCTTGAGTACAATTAATAAGCATACCGTATACATGTAACTGTATATAGATCAGTATAACATAGCCAGGATATCGTCACCTACATATTTGGACACATTATGAGTATTGACGTTTTGTTGTACAGGTATTCCCAATCATTATTTAAAAGTTTAAAACAAAGATTTATGTATTATAATAATCATGTATTTTTCTCTTAGCTCTCTAAGAATCGGATACCTCAAATAAAATGGAATTACACTTCATCACATCACACATATAACGAACTATTCTCCGATGTTTATTTATGCGAAATCCTATTTCTGTTTAAACTACTGGTAGATAGATTTTACAGAAGTTACCAGTAAGGTGTTGGTAAAAAGAAACTTTAGAGGAGTGTACTACATCTTGTTTGATTTTGTTTAACAATCGTTATTACATTATTTTGTATTTCACTATTTAAGATATATCGCTATCAAGTATACATCCAAGTCATAGAGCTGACACCTTTTGCTTTGTATTTATCAATCCATACGTCATATTCGCTCTCACAATTGTGAGAACATGCTATCGAGATGTCTTTACTTCAGTACCTCGAGTAAATAACTTCAGTACCTCTAGTAAATAACTTCAGTACCTCTAGTAAATAACAACGGAAAATTCACAAATGAGTTGTAAACTTAACTTTGCGGCTAGTATTTTTTCGTACTCCTAATATCTGTTTAAGGCGCTTCCTTTATATCTATTTAGGGGTTGTGAAACCCCCCATCTTTTTACACATTACATAAACTACTGCTAATATTAGCATACAAAACGGAACAGTTTCGAAATTTAAAGAATACATTGTAGTTTGGTAAAGAAATCATAAGCGAAAATACAGAATTTCTATCTCAATCTGATGAGTGTTTCTGATTCTATTCAAACGTCACGTTAATATACCTATATGTACCTATAAATCCTCAACAACCTGTTATCGTTTATCATATGTCCATGATTTATTGTTTCTTACGATTGAATTATTCCGAAATATCACAATGGATATTTTTTTCTATATTGACCGAAGCATTTCACTTTTTGCTGTCACACATTCTTTCAAACATTGATTTCAATCCTTCGGTAGTTTCGGCATGTAACTCATGCTACAGACATACAACGCTTTGATGTTGACCTCATTACCAGTACGCTGTTCATTAGCTGTCTATTCTAAACACGAATGGTTTTCCGTTGGTAATATGTTTTATAAAGACAAGACTCATCAAAATGCCCTTCCTTTGGGAGGTCTCGGCCCAATTTGATTAAGAATTTACCAATAAATAAACGAATCAACATTTCAAATACACTCGAACTTTTAAAACTGTTAACATATTTTATTGACAATGAAATAGAACAAGGGGTTGGTCACACGTTATTACAACTTATCACAGCGATACACTCAATTGACGTTTGTTACTTGTTCATGGCCTTTGCTTTTAATTGTCCAGATATAAACCATTATTACATGTGTATATATGTAACGGTGCGAGTAGCGGTTTTACTGTAACTGCCACGGTACAAATAACAGTTTTACTATAGCTGTACCGGCACAGGTAACGGTTTTACTAATATGATTATATCTTAACAAATAACAATCTTACTACGGTTTATCTAAATATATTTTATTGCCTTTAAAGCAACAGGATTGGGCACAAGTTGTACAACTTATTTAAAGCACTTTCCCTAAAATAAAACATCTGTATATATTTACAAAATTCAAGATGGCATATACATTATACACAACCATTTGTACATATCTCATGAGAAAGACAGATTTTTTTACATATTTTTTTTTCATAATGTGGACAATCTCTTTTCCGACACTGACGGTAGAAGTTGACACTATACACGTTTTTAAACATTCTGCTTGTACTATTTTCCATCACTCTCGTGCCTTGGTTTGCTTTCTCCTTGTCATCCCGTTCGTCCTTGAATATCCGTTTCTCTTGTGCCGTCAGCATCGGAAAAGATCTATACAAAAACATTTAAACTTATAAACAACCTGATTTTTAACTATAACAGATAGAGATAGAAAGAAGGGAAGGGAGCGGGGTGGGTTGTATTATGGTTGTACCGGTACAAGTAACAGTTTTACTATGGTTATACCGGTAAAAGTATCGTTTTTTTCTGTGGTTATACCGGTATAAAATACTGTTTTACTACGGTTAAACCGGGTATAAGTAACGGTTTTACTGTGGTTATACCGGTACAAGTAACGGTTTTACTATGGTTGTACCGGTACAAGTAACGGTTTTGCGGTGTGGTGATACCGGTACAAGTAACGGTTTTACTAGGGTTGAAACGGTACAAGGAACAATAACTGTAGATGTTACAATTATTCATGTAATACACAAAAAGGAAAAGAAGACCTTTAGTATAATGTAAAAATGTGCAGACAATAGCCAGCCGATATAATAATAATTGTTGTTTGGTGTGGTTATGTATAATTAGCCATACAGCCATATCAGTTATAAAACTCTTTGTTTACAATGACTTTCGTAGATGACAATCATCTCGTTTAGTTTAAACACACTTTTGTTGCAATGAATTGCAATGGGATTGAACAAAGGTTTACAAAACCTTATCGAGTTTCATTCCGTAAAAGTCCACCATACATATTAATCTTACAAACACCTGACAAGGTAGATAGGCATCTCGATCGGGTAGGTATAGTAAGTAGCTAAGCATATTGCTTACAAACCTTATAAGGTAAAAACGAACATGGCGGACAGGAACTACGTTACCGGCCTGAGCAGAGATATACTGGACGATTACTGGGAACAATTACTGAAAAGACATGCAGACTTTTACGAACCGGAGGAGATGAAATTCTTTGTTCACTGTACATCAATGAAGAAGAAAGAGTCCATTTTGAAAATCGGCCGATTAGAGGGTGGATTTACAGGGCTTCCAAAGCAGGCTCCGCTTGCAAGTAACCCGGACCTCTCCGGAGTTTGGTTGGCGCTATCAACAATCCTTCCCAATAAGTCACCCTATGGAAATCATCAGTTGTGCATAAAGGTGAAGGATTTGATAACTTACATGTTTCAGTCAAACGAGGAAGTAACTCAAGTAAGAGAGGTCGACAGCGATGACGTATGGGATGCAGAAAGCAGTGAGGACGACACGTACGCTGGGAAGGGCAAAAAAGGTAAAGGCGGGAAAAGGGGAAAGGAGCAGACGTCCAAAAAGAAACAGAAACAAAGGAAGCCGAAGAAAAATCAGAAAGAATGCTATGCAACGGGACGCAAAAGTGCACCTCCACAAAAACAACGGGGAAATAAACCGACGTTATTTTTTGAATGCGCCCATTACTATGGTAACACACAATACGTCAGAATGCTCCTTGTTCGCGCAGGTGATCCACAGATGGATTGGTGTGTCGAAAACTTGAAAGAAATCAATATTCATGACAACCCATTCTTTCAGCTACAGTGGGGCAGATTATACTCGTCGATCGGCGAACATGGCCGAAAGGAGCTGGTCGTAGAAATTCTTATAGTTGGGGATATTGTTCTAGATAAACTTCCGGAAAAGGTAACGTGGGAAACCGTGGGCAAATTACAACGTGCTGGATATGATCCGCCCTTAGGTGTACTCTGATCCTCATACCCTACGTGTTCACGATCTGGTTATGTGATGATCTTTGATCCCTGGTGCATGTTTACGATCTCATTTGGAGTTGATCTTCCTGATGTGTGGCCATTGTAACTGGATCCTTTCAAAAAATTGTACTGATTGATAAGTGTAACTTCACCGTCTGTCTATACGCTTGTTTTATAGATAATGTTAAACGCTTTCTACGTACATATCAACGAAACCGTTTAAGATAGCGTCAATGTGCGTCAAATACTGTATGACTCGGAATGTTCATACTAAGGGCACTATTCTGTTGACAATGACGCGATCTTCTCTGCGAGTGATGACAATCTTTAAAATCTTCTCAATGTTGTTTCGGTTTAGTGTCATTGCTTACGGTGAGGCTTACTATTGACATAAATCAAATAAAAAATGGTTCAGATTCTGACTTAAACCTGATACATAACCTTTGAATCCACTATCCACTTTGGATATGTGTGGTGCAAATGACCAGAACGCCAGTTTTGTACAGTTATATATTTGTCGTTCATTCTATTAGATATTCTAAGTGGTTTGTGTCTTGTCTTGTATAGTATATTACAAAAGAGTGTGTGTTGATAATGTTGTAACTAATGCTACTAATCCTTTTTGTTACTGTTTGCCAATAAAATATTTTAATCTAAAACTATGATCTGTACTGTTTTGCACTTGAAAACAGTTTTTGGTCTCGGATCCATCTTCTTGAACAAGATTCGAAACAACCACAATCACTTGTGAGCTAACGTTGTAAATGACCTTAGCTGTTGATAGGACGTTAAACCAATAAACCGAACCAAATCCGATAAATTAACGACATTTTAGGCAGAGTTCAACTACAACCCTATGTATGGATGCGGACCAATGTGCTGTTAATTAATTCTTAAATCGCCCCACCGGGCTTGCTCCATTACAAGGCATGTGATCGATTTAATACCCGGCCGGGGGAGAGGAGGCCGGGTATTATTTTTAATGTTAGTCAACTAGGGTACAACCTGTAAAGAAAACGACAGGTACAGATCTGAACCGAGGCTGACCTCAGGAAAATTCGGCACGTGTAGATTGAGGGGTCCAGACGTACCTGACCAAAATTAAAATACTGACTATTGCCAGTTTGCGTTATTTCTTTCTTAAACAATGTCAAGCCACATGTAGTTTTTAAGATATGTTATGTAATTCAGTGGACGCCTGAGAGAAGGGCATAATATTCTTGATACATTGTTTTGTATTCTCCGAAACTGTGCATGTTTAGCTCTGCTTATAGATCGGTCTAAGTGTGTTCGTTTAACGTGGAAATTGTCTGCGCCACACGAACCGTTTCAACCGGGATACGCGATTGTAGCCCTGGGGTACATTCGCGTATTCGGTTGAAACGGTTGAACCTGTAAAGAAAACGACAGGTACAGATCTGGACCGAGGCTGACCTCAGGAAAAATTGTCACGTGTAGATTTGATTCTGTAGATTGAGGGGTCCAGCATACCTGACCGGAACTAAAATGCTGACAATTGCCAATTTGCGTTATTTCTTTCTTAAACAATGTCAAGTCACGTGTAGTTTTTAAGATACGTTATGTAATTTAGTGGACGGATGGAAGAAGGGCATATTATTCTTGATACATTGCTTTTTATTCTCCGAAACTGTGCATTTTTAGCTCTACTTATAGAACGGTCCAAGTGCGTTCATTTATCGTGGAAAATTTCTGCGCCACACGTACCGTTTCAACCCCGGTATACGCGAATATAGCCCTAACTAGTTAACGGCCATATTAACGGGTAATTATATTTATCGCCAGGAGGAGCGAAGTGTATTGTCTGTGGTAGGAGTTTTGTTCAAGTACGGTTACTACAGAACCATATAAAGACATGTACAAAAGTTACGCCATTTGTGTGTGATGTCTGTGGCGAACGCTTCTCACTTGAATCTAGACTATCCACACATATCAAGTCACATAAAGTAGTAGAGCTATGTAATTGTGACATCTGTGGTAAGGGTTTTTCTGCGAAGTCTAATCTTATTAAATATGTCAGGACAAACACATGACAGAAGCTGTTGTAAGTTATTGAAGTAGGAAGAGGAATAGTGATAAGGATAGTGCTGTCGCTGGGGCTTGAACCCGGGACCCTTGGCTCTCCAGCCCGATGCTCTACCACTGAACTAAAGGGAAAATCCCTATAGCTGACACTTGTAAGGCAACCAGTTTCCCTGGTGTAAGGATACAGTCCCAAACTGGTCTGGTTGGCAGTTGTCCAGGCGTAAGGATTCAGTCTCAAACTGATCTGACTGGCAGTAGTCCAGGTGTAAGGATTCAGTCTCAAACTGGTCTGACTGGCAGTAGTCCTGGTGTTAGGATTCAGTCTGATTCAGTCTCAAACTTGTCTGACTGGCAGTAGTCCAGGTGTTAGGATTCAGTCTGATTCGGTCTCAAACTGGTCTGACTGGCAGTTGTCCTGGTGTAAGGATTCAGTCTGATTCAGTCTCAAACTGGTCTGACTGGCAGTAGTCCAGGGGTTAGGATTCAGTCTGATTCAGTCTCAAACTGGTCTGACTGGCAGTTGTCCTGGTGTAAGGATTCAGTCTCAAACTTGTCTGACTGGCAGTAGTCCAGGTGTTAGGATTCAGTCTCAAACTGGCCTGACTGGCAGTAGTCCTGGTGAAAGGATTCAGTCTGATGTAGTCTCAAACTGGTCTGACTGGCAGTAATCCTGGTGTAAGGATTCAGTCTGATTCAGTCTCAAACTGGTCTGACTGGCAGTAGTCCTGGTGAAAGGATTCAGTCTCAAACCGGTCTGACTGGCAGTAGTCCTGGTGTAAGGATTCAGTCTGATTCAGTCTCAAACTAGTCTGACTGGCAGTAGTCCAGGTGTTAGGATTCAGTCTCAAACTGGTCTGACTGGCAGTAGTCCTGGTGAAAGGATTCAGTCTCAAACTGGTCTAACTAGCAGTAGACTTGTGTAAGGATTCCGTCTCAAACTGGTCTGACTGGCAGTAGTCCAGGTGTTAGGATTCAGTCTCAAACTGGTCTGACTGGCAGTAGTCCAATTGTTAGGATTCAGTCTCAAACTGGTCTGACTGGCAGTTGTCCTGGTGTTAGGATTCAGTCTCAAACTGGTCTGACTGGCAGTAGTCCTGGTGAAAGGATTCAGTCTGATGTAGTCTCAAACTGGTCTGACTGGCAGTAATCCTGGTGTAAGGATTCAGTCTGATTCAGTCTCAAACTGGTCTGACTCGCAGTAGTCCAGGTGTTAGGATTCAGTCTCAAACTGGTCTGACTGGCAGTAGTCCTGGTGTTAGGATTCAGTCTCAAACTGGTCTAACTAGCAGTAGTCCAGGTGTTAGGATTCAGTCTCAAACTGGTCTGACTGTCAGTAGTCCAGGGGTTAGGATTCAGTCTGATTCAGTCTCAAACTGGTCTGACTGGCAGTAGTCCAGGTGTTAGGATTCAGTCTCAAACTGGTCTGACTAGCAGTAGACTTGTGTAAGGATTCCGTCTCAAACTGATCTGACTGGCAGTAGTCCAGGTGTTAGGATTCAGTCTCAAACTGGTCTGACTGGCAGTAGTCCAGGTGTTAGGATTCAGTCTCAAATTGGTCTGACTGGCAGTAGTCCAATTGTTAGGATTCAGTCTCAAACTGGTCTGACTGCCAGTTGTCCTGGTGTAAGGATTCAGTTTCAAACTGATCTGACTGGCAGTAGTCCTGGTGTTAGGATTCAGTCTCAAAGTGTTCTTATTGGCAGTAGTTCTGGTGAAAGGATTCAGTCTGATGTAGTCTCAAACCGGTCTGACTGGCAGTAGTCCTGGTGTAAGGATTCAGGCTGATTCAGTCTCAAACTGGTCTGACTGGAAGTAGTCCTGGTGTAAGGATTCAGTCTCAAACTGGTCTAACTGGCAGTAGTCCAGGTGTTAGGATTCAGACTAAAACAGGTCTGACTGACAGTAGTCCAGGTGTTAGGATTCAGTCTAAAACTGGTCTGACTGACAGTAGTCCAGGTGTTAGGATTCAGTCTAAAACAGGTCTGACTGACAGTAGTCCTGGTGTTAGGATTCAGTCTCAAACTGGTCTGACTGGCAGTAGTCCTGGTGTTAGGATTCAGTCTCAAACTGTTCTGATTGGCAGTAGTTCTGGTGAAAGGATTCAGTCTGATGTAGTCTCAAACTGGTCTGACTGGCAGTAGTCCTGGTGTAAGGATTCAGGCTCAAACTGCACAGCCTTAAACTGATCTGACTGGCAGTTTTCCTGTTGTAAGGATATCTATCGATTCAGTCTTAAACTGATCTGACTGGCAGTACTTGTGTATGGATTCAGTTTGGTTAGGACACAGAACGACACATTTTTATGATTGCGAAAATTCAGCTGCATTTAAAGTATATAAGATATCTTATAAAGTATATAAGATATCTCATGAAGTATATAAGATATCTTATATAATTAAATAAGATATCTTATATAATTTGGTTAAGTACTGGATCAACATTGCTCCATGCATAAATGACAACTTGGCTTGCCATACATTTCCCCATAAAATCCAAGAATTCGGCCGCCGTCTACCCATGTTGTGGTGACGTCTATTTTCGTCAGGTACAAAATAAGGTTTGAGTAAACTCAAGAGAGTGGTGATTTGAATTGGGATTTTTCCAAATGTCATTTTTTTCTGGTCGTCTGCAGGAAGTTGTGCGTTAATTTTTACATAAATTGACTTTCCAAAGTTAAGGACCCTTATCTGTTGATACTGATGTGTGATCAAGGGAATGCTAAGGGTACACACTCAAGGGGCTGCGTTCACATCACCACTAAGCAAAGTGAATCAAGAGTTCTGAGTACGAAGTGAGGACTCGTTGATACTTGTCGAGAGCTTGATAAGAACGAACTTTCTTGAACCCCAAACCAGCACAGTTCATCGTGCTTTTTGGTTTTATTTTGCATTGTCGAGTGGCGCCGTGGAAAGTGAACTTGCCTTTTACCAAGACGGCCGGGGTTCGATTTCCCTATCGGACGTCACCTGCTCTACCACGTGGGTTTTATACAGTATGTCACATAAAAAAGCCCACGTTGTTGGCACCTGTTGGATTCTTGATGAGCATAAGATATATTTGAAAAATACAACATGAACTAAATTGGCTTTTAAAGGGAAAACAGGTCGAAGTATATGACAGACAAAGTGACATTTTGGTGTACTCACCTGTTGAGCCGTTGGTAGATCTAGGTGTAAGTTAGTGCAAGGAACGACAACTATGGGTAGATTGAAAGCCGTTCTCGTACCGCTATTGCGCCGTCCAGATCTGAGTCCTTTCAAATTATTTTGCCGTCGGTCCACGTTCACAATACCATTTCAAGCAACCCTATCAAGTCCATACATTTGATCAATGAGTTATCTTCTAGTTCCCACGCTAGAATTCAGGTAATTAAGTCCACGGTGCTATATGGGCAGCAATCATTCATTTGCGTGTATTGCTATATATATATATTTGAAGCATTTTCTACACAGAATCATTCTGTCAGTGACCCCTGTGAGGTTCACAATGTCAACAGAAGAAATGTTGGAAATACAGTATCTTGCTCTACCAAAGCAGAGGCGGACCTTCTCCTAGCCCAATTCATCAGATAGAGAAGAAGGTGGAAATAAAGAAAGATAAGACAAAGAAAGAGGTACGGGGTCAGGGAGTGACTTCCGAGGGGAGAATATCTGGGACATTATCACCGTCTGATGAGGAGAGAATATCTGGGACATTATCACCGTCTGACGAGGAGAGAATATCTGGGACATTATCACCGTCTGACGAGGAGAGAATATTTGGGACATTATCACCGTCTGATGAGGAGAGAATATCTAGGACATTATCACCGTCTGACGAGGAGAGAATATCTCGGACATTATCACCGTCTTACGAGGAGAGAATATTTGGGACAGTATCACTGTCTGATGAGGAGAGAATATTTGGGACATTATCACCGTCTGACCAGGAGAGAATATCTGGGACATTATCACCGTCTGCCGAGGAGAGAATATCTCGGACATTATCACCGTCTTACGAGGAGAGAATATTTGGGACATTATCACCGTCTGACGAGGAGAGAATATCTGGGACATTATCACCGTCTGATGAGGAGGGAATATCTAGGACATTATCACCGTCTGATGAGGAGAGAATATTTGGAACATTATCACCGTCTGACGAGGAGCGAATAACTGGGACATTATCACCGTCTGACGAGGAGAGAATATCTCGGACCTTATCACCGTCTGACGAGGAGAGAATATTTGGGACATTACCACCGTCTGATGAGGAGAGAATATTTGGGACATTATCACCGTCTGATGAGGAGAGAATATTTGGGACATTATCACCGTCTGACGAGGAGAGAATATCTGGGACATTATCACCGTCTGACGAGGAGAGAATATTTGGGACATTATCACCGTCTGACGAGGAGAGAATATCTGGGACATTATCACCGTCTGACGAGGAGAGAATATTTGGGACATTATCACCGTCTGACGAGGAGAGAATATCTGGGACATTATCACCGTCTGACGAGGAGAGAATATTTGGGACATTATCACCGTCTGACGAGGAGAGAATATCTGGGACATTATCACCGTCTGACGAGGAGAGAATATTTGGGACATTATCACCGTCTGACGAGGAGAGAATATCTGGGACATTATCACCGTCTGACGAGGAGAGAATATTTGGGACATTATCACCGTCTGACGAGGAGAGAATATCTGGGACATTATCACCGTCTGACGAGGAGAGAATATTTGGGACATTATCACCGTCTGACGAGGAGAGAATATCTGGGACATTATCACCGTCTGACGAGGAGAGAATATTTGGGACATTATCACCGTCTGACGAGGAGAGAATATCTGGGACATTATCACCGTCTGACGAGGAGAGAATATTTGGGACATTATCACCGTCTGACGAGGAGAGAATATCTGGGACATTATCACCGTCTGACGAGGAGAGAATATTTGGGACATTATCACCGTCTGACGAGGAGAGAATATCTGGGACATTATCACCGTCTGACGAGGAGAGAATATTTGGGACATTATCACCGTCTGACGAGGAGAGAATATCTGGGACATTATCACCGTCTGACGAGGAGAGAATATTTGGGACATTATCACCGTCTGACGAGGAGAGAATATCTGGGACATTATCACCGTCTGACGAGGAGAGAATATTTGGGACATTATCACCGTCTGACGAGGAGAGAATATCTGGGACATTATCACCGTCTGACGAGGAGAGAATATTTGGGACATTATCACCGTCTGACGAGGAGAGAATATCTGGGACATTATCACCGTCTGACGAGGAGAGAATATTTGGGACATTATCACCGTCTGACGAGGAGAGAATATCTGGGACATTATCACCGTCTGACGAGGAGAGAATATTTGGGACATTATCACCGTCTGACGAGGAGAGAATATCTGGGACATTATCACCGTCTGACGAGGAGAGAATATTTGGGACATTATCACCGTCTGACGAGGAGAGAATATCTGGGACATTATCACCGTCTGACGAGGAGAGAATATTTGGGACATTATCACCGTCTGACGAGGAGAGAATATCTGGGACATTATCACCGTCTGACGAGGAGAGAATATTTGGGACATTATCACCGTCTGACGAGGAGAGAATATCTGGGACATTATCACCGTCTGACGAGGAGAGAATATTTGGGACATTATCACCGTCTGACGAGGAGAGAATATCTGGGACATTATCACCGTCTGACGAGGAGAGAATATTTGGGACATTATCACCGTCTGACGAGGAGAGAATATCTGGGACATTATCACCGTCTGACGAGGAGAGAATATTTGGGACATTATCACCGTCTGACGAGGAGAGAATATCTGGGACATTATCACCGTCTGACGAGGAGAGAATATTTGGGACATTATCACCGTCTGACGAGGAGAGAATATCTGGGACATTATCACCGTCTGACGAGGAGAGAATATTTGGGACATTATCACCGTCTGACGAGGAGAGAATATCTGGGACATTATCACCGTCTGACGAGGAGAGAATATTTGGGACATTATCACCGTCTGACGAGGAGAGAATATCTGGGACATTATCACCGTCTGACGAGGAGAGAATATTTGGGACATTATCACCGTCTGACGAGGAGAGAATATCTGGGACATTATCACCGTCTGACGAGGAGAGAATATTTGGGACATTATCACCGTCTGACGAGGAGAGAATATCTGGGACATTATCACCGTCTGACGAGGAGAGAATATTTGGGACATTATCACCGTCTGACGAGGAGAGAATATCTGGGACATTATCACCGTCTGACGAGGAGAGAATATTTGGGACATTATCACCGTCTGACGAGGAGAGAATATCTGGGACATTATCACCGTCTGACGAGGAGAGAATATTTGGGACATTATCACCGTCTGACGAGGAGAGAATATCTGGGACATTATCACCGTCTGACGAGGAGAGAATATTTGGGACATTATCACCGTCTGACGAGGAGAGAATATCTGGGACATTATCACCGTCTGACGAGGAGAGAATATTTGGGACATTATCACCGTCTGACGAGGAGAGAATATCTGGGACATTATCACCGTCTGACGAGGAGAGAATATTTGGGACATTATCACCGTCTGACGAGGAGAGAATATCTGGGACATTATCACCGTCTGACGAGGAGAGAATATTTGGGACATTATCACCGTCTGACGAGGAGAGAATATCTGGGACATTATCACCGTCTGACGAGGAGAGAATCGCCGTCTGACGAGGAGAGAATAAATGGGACATTATCTGGCACCGTCTGACGAGGAGAGAATATCTGGGACATTATCACCGTCTGACGAGGAGAGAATATCTGGGACATGATCACCGTTAGACGAGGAGAGAATATCTCGGACATTATCACCGTCTGACGAGGAGAGAATATTTGGTACATTATCACCCTCTGATGAGGAGAGAATATCTGGGACCTTATCACCGTCTGACGAGTAGAGAATATTTGGGACATTACCACCGTCTGATGAGGAGAGAATATTTAGGACATTATCACCGTCTGCCGAGGAGAGGATATTTGGGACATTACCCCCGTCTGATGAGGAGGGAATATTTGGGACATTCCCACCGTCTGATGAGGAGGGAATATTTGGGACATTCCCACCGTCTGATGAGGAGGGAATATTTGGTACATTATCACCGTCTTATGAGGAGAGAATATATGGGACATTATCACCTTCTGATGAGGAGAGAATGTCTGGGACCTTATCACCGTCTGACGAGCAGAGAATATTTGTGATGAGTAGAGAATATTTTGGACATTATCTCCGTCTTACGAGGAGAGAATATTTGGGACATTATCACCGTCTGACGAGCAGAGAATATTTGGGACATTATCACCGTCTTACGAGGAGAGAATATTTGGGACATTATCACCGTCTGACGAGGAGAGAATATCTCGGACATTATCACCGTCTGACGAGGAGAGAATATTTGGGACATTATCACCGTCTGACGAGGAGAGAATATCTCGGACAGTATCACCGTCTGACGAGGAGAGAATATCTGGGACATAATCACCGTCTGACGAGGAGAGAATCGCCGTCTGACGAGGAGAGAATATCTGGGACATTATCTGGCACCGTCTGACGAGGAGAGAATATCTGGGACATTATCACCGTCTGATGCCCGAACTACGAGTAGAAGATTTCGCGTCCTTTGTCAGCTCTAATGGCACCTTAGGAGATGTTTGGCGGGCGCCTTACCAGAGTTGGACAACGAAACATAAAGTAGAATACACCTTTTTTTCAAGATTAATCCTGTTCCACGACGGCAAAGCCCAAGTGAAACATGGTTAATAAAAGGAAAACGAATCATGTATTCCTACCGCAATGGCAAAACGAATTCCTCTCTCGCCAATGTTGTCTACTTCATTCGGTGTGGTGTCTCTTGCACATTTCTTTTCCGGAGGGGCTCCGAATAAGGGAAATGTGATGGAAAAATTGAGCGTGTGATGGCGGCACGATATTCCTTCTCCCTCGTGATCAATATTATCACGATTTCATAAGATGAGGTAAAAAAAATAATGCGTCTTCGATTGCGTTCTCTCCGTTACCAGCCCTGTAAGAAGAACGTTCAACACTTTCATATTACCGGTTCAATTGTCGTGATGTATATATTTAGGTGTCACTGTCTGTGGTCGATTCTGTTTCTTCGAAATCGAACGATCCCTGAATATGTTTCCATGAATGTACTTGTCGTTAATTACACTGTACACTAGTGATACACATAAGTGCGGACAAATATATTGTAAAAATAATCAGAGCGGTCTGCTCCTTTTTCAAAACAAGAATATCCAAGATATACAATGTCATGGATAACAGTCGGCAAAATGATATCCGATAGAAAAAAGGCCGACCAGCGGCCTATTATGTTATAAGAGTAGACCTGACACCAGACTTCGACATTTTGACAGATAGATTTCCGACACAAGACATCTATCTGTCAAAATGTCAAAGTCTGGTGTCAGGACCAGAGGAAACTTGTGCTTTGGGACGAGTTATTGTGTCCTAATGTCATCATGTTTTACTAAATAAAACGTATTGGGCACTTCTGTGTTACGTAGTGGTAAGCATGGCACTGTATCACCTCTACAGGAGTCTTAAATGCTTCTCCAGCTCTACAACTATTTGTAAACCAATATATATATACTAGATTAAGTGTCAAGTCCATTGTTGGAAGCCAATAAAAGAATACATTTAATAATTTCAAACTTCAATCATTGTTTCCCCGTCCCCTTTTTGTAAAATGTTGTACCCAAACTTTGAAATTGAAGGGTTCTGTTCTCGATAGACATGCGTTCAATGAAAGCGAACCCTTAGGATTGTTGTATTTTTTCACATAAATCTGGAACAGCGGAGCAATAGGAGTTATCTCCCATTAGTCAATCAGTTTATATTGCTTACTATTCCAAGGTACGGTAGGCGAAGAATAATAAAAAAAACTGTTTGTTATGCTCCGACACCTTGTTCGGCTGGGAGTCAAATTAATCCAAAACCTTATAACAAAATGAAAATGAACAACATTTTCGATCTGGCAGCCGAGACCATTTATTCCGTTTTAACGTTTATGATTTTATTTTCAAACATTAATTAGATGATGTAAGTTTCTTACAATGTATGCTGATTTTCTTCTAACATTTTCTGACCTGAAAACTAGACTAGTGTATATAAAGCAAACAGTCAAACATGTTTGTTTATTGACAGTGAAATAACTTTATCTAGCATCATAAATCATGCAGAAAGAAATGTAATCGATATTCGACTGATGTCATTGATAGCAGAGTTGTAAATCACACACATCCAAAGGTTCGACTGGGTTTTCCAACCATGTGAGAAATTGAAAAAAAATCTCTGAATATAAAATTGCAAAATGCATTTTATGGTACGCCTTTAGCGGATTGGCTATAAAACAAACCACAGGGACATGAGAATTTGTTACAGCCAACCACACATAATGTTTCGGCACGTGGCTCGGAAATGATGTGTGTTTTTGGAATGAACATACATTTTATATGCATATAGGAGGTTCTTAAAAGAAAAAATCCAAAGGTACTAGGAATTTGTGCACGTCGACTAGGACTGTGAATTTTGATGATAGAACGTTAGGTGGGGCCGACATATCGACATCGGAAACTTTCTACCCTTCTCGTATAAATCATTGGGTATGGCATCTAAGTTCATCTAAACCCATAAAACATGTAAAATTACTCTGAATACCTTAGTTTAGGCCGAGGGATAGCTGTAACAAATCCCCAGGACCCTGTGTAACAAAAACATATCGATTAACTTGTACTTAAAATTATATCGACTCTCCAAATTGTACGTGTTTTTTGAACGGAGTTTATCACTGAATAATTTCCAAATCTTTTTTGGATGTGGTCCAATTTTATAAAGTTTAACATCACAGTCAGTTAAGAAAGTTTGAATTATCCGTGAATGTTGCTTTGTGTGTATTTTTATGCCTCGTTTACCTCACTTTGATGTGAGTTACCGCCTTGAATGGACTTTGACCTGGCCAAACCTGTGTCTGTCACATACCAATACACAGATTAATTGTAAATGAAACTCTTTTTTTAATTTTCAAAATTAAGTGTTTGGGGAAATGCATAAACAAATATTTGAAAACATAATGAATGAAGTATATATATAAGTGTTTTCAGACAGGCCCAGTCTCTAGAATATTGCGGTGAAATATTTCAAGAAAAAAACATTAGACTAGCTTTATACTAATTTTGATCGCCTGGATGTATGATTCGACGTTTCAAACAAAGGGGAGATAAGCTATAGTAGAGAAACGAAGCTGGAAGGTAGCCATTCCAACAGGTTTTGTTATTTTGAAATATCTATAAAGGCAACAAAGACTATGTCGAACTTACGATCGGTTTTTAACCACATTGATAGTAAAATATTTTGGATGCGTCAATGATTCTGGTGCAATATATTGGGAAATCTATATTGTACTGATCTAATGTCACACAAGATATTATTACATTAGTCGCCTCTTTCGATTTCTTCCTCCGAACTTGCACAGGTTAGGTCCTAATGTGCTTTATCAGACAGTTGTGAATTTCAAAAACCCGGGTCATCCATTTTCCCGGGAAAAGGAGCAAATTTACTATAGTCATATGGGAAAACAACACTTTTTTGATATATTTTGCATATTTTCAGTAGGAAATAATTCAAACTTACTTGGAATTCCTATCATATGATTGCAGTTTGATTGTATGCAAATTTAGACACAAACCCACTCCCGGGGCCTTAGAGGCGGAACCAAACGGGGCTTACTTGGCTAATTATTCAGTTATCTTTTTTTTCAGACTCAGATATGCTGAAATTAAATCCTGCGATATGCGATATATATATATATTTTTTTCAAATCACAACAACAAATAGTCAATGTATTACAATTCAGGTGGCCGCTAATGCCCATTGTACTCTCGTGTATATAAAGGTATAGGGTTTTTATCGTAAAAGGAAAAAGAAAATGAAAATTATATATCTCTAATGATAAAAGACACAACTAGGGCATTAGCCTTATATGTGTTCATATACTTTCTTAGAGATATTTAGAACGGTTTTATAGTTGTTGCCAAGCAAAGCTCTAAAACAATGATTTCTGTAGTTTTTCATATTTGTTTCCATGGTAACATGTGCTAACATGTGTTAAAATCCAACACTAAAATATAGATGATTGATTGTAAAACCTATTTTGGGTTACAAAAAGATGCTCGACCTTATTTTACCCGGTACATGGAAGAGGACAGTACGAATACCGACAACTTTATATTTCAACAGAACTATTACAAGATATACTAATAAATAACGATAAAAAAATACTTACCTTGTTTTATTGAAATAAAAACTTGTATAATAATGCACTCAAATACCAATCATATTATTTTTACGCTTTAAAATGAGAAAATCAAAGCAAAATAATTTCAAATCAATCTTCTGCTTTCATAATTAACTGTGTCGGATCATAAACTTTAAGATAAAATAGACAAACGTGCTAACGATTTGGACAGCTTCGTATGCCAGGATATAAACAACAAATATCCTTGTATATTGGTGTCAACGTCAAAAAGCAATTCGAAATCGTACGACGTAGTTTTTTTGACTCCTGAATAACTAGTGTAATTTTTTCTTACCAACCAGACCGGGTCGGGGGAATCCCCATGTTCATCGTTTTAAGAAATCGATCTGGATCACA